GAGGAAGAACTTCTTCCCTCTGAGGGTGACGGAGCCCTGGCCCAGGCTGCCCAGGGAGGCTGTGGAGTCTCCTTCTCTGGAGATATTCCAGCCCCGCCTGGACGCGGTGCTGTGCAGCCTGCTGTGGGTGACCCTGCTTGGGCAGGGGGTTGGGCTGGGTGACCCACAGAGGTCCCTGCCAACCCCGACCAGTCTGTGAGACAGTATGGCTGCAGAATGTCTTCACAAGCAGGTGGGAGCAGAGAGGTGTGGGTACGGGTGAGGAGAATGCTGGACGAGGATGCAATGGAATGTGTGAAGGAGGAAGAGGTAATAAGAGACTTGAGGAGACAAAACAATGGAAGCAGGAGAGAAGGGGTAATATCTAAGGAAAGAGGAGATGAAGGAAACCGAGATTAGACAATTGTGAATTTTCTCAGCAGAAAATCTTGGCAGGGTTCTTGCTCCTGTGTCCCCAGGTTTCACTAGCTTCAGGAGAGCTGATTTGGTTGTGAGCCTGTAACCATCTACCATGTGCTGAGCAGAGAGTGCAGCGTTTTCAAGGGAAGTCAGTTCTGGTTTTTACTTCCTAATATGTATGAGTTACAGCGTATTAATTGCCAGTCACACTCTCTGCAGAATTCATGGCAAAGGACAATTTTAAGGAGGAGTATGGGGGTAGCTTGTAAAGCTACCAGAGGATGTAGAACAGAGGCACTCATTTCAAAATCTTCCGAATGGTTGGTGGAGCTGGAGCTCAGGAGGGCTGAGCAATGGTGGGAGCTGAACTCTCCGTGACGAGTGAGGTGAGGGTAGTCTCTGAGTTCTGGGGAGATGAGGGTGAGCAGCTTCAGGCTGCTGTTGCAGAGCAGGAGGAGCTGGCAGATGGAAGCACCGTGGGTGTCGTGTCGGTGTAATGAGCTGGAAAAATGCACTTTGCAGTGGTGTTCTGGTGGAGGTTAGCAGGGCGAGGCTGTGCTCCTTGAGGCCAGAGAACAGCGTGCTGTAACAATCAAAATGCAAGCTGACAGGGGCACGAATGGGGGTTTTAGCTGTTTTGGAAGCTTGTAAAAACCATATGGAGCCGTTAAAGCCTGAAGACCTAGAGGGTGATCTATGCTGAAGATGATGCTCAGGTTATGGACAAAGATTAAGGAAGCAGGTACGAAGCATGCTCTCTCTTGGTGGGTGCGGTAGGATCGTGGACAGATTAACCCCCTCAGCTCCTCCTTTTCAGAATTGTGTTTGCTGAAAGTGGTATAGTTTTGTTGTTCTGTTGTTTCCTAGGCGTAATGCTGGATCTTGCCCATTCTTCAGGAGTATTTGTTTCAGTTGGTAACTCCCAAAAATCAGATGAAATTGGATGAAGGCCTCACGTGGCTGTTGAGAAAGCAAGATAACCATATATGCATTGTTTCAGCTAATATGGAAAATCAGGTTTTGGACTAACGTGTTTTTTCATCTAACAGTCTCCTATCTTATTTTAAAAACTCTCTTGAAAGATTTTAACACGGATCCACAATTATTATAATTCTTCTTTTAGAGATATTTGTGCTTCCATCTCCTTTATGAATGGGGAAGGAAATAAGTCTTCTCAAGTGGTGAATTAACTGGGTGGTATAAGTCCTGATGTCTTTGCCTATTAACAATGTGAACCTTTTAAAGATTAATATTCTAGCAGATGCAATAAGAAAAGCTTGTGAAGATGTAGTTATAGGAGAAAAAAGTCATGATCATAAAAGGAATAATTTTAACTAAGAAAGCCCAGGCAGATGTATTAATACACATTCATTTACAGATTAATTCCTGCGATCAGAATCTGAACCGATGCTGTGAAATAATAGAATTGACCTCTGAGATTCAAGGACAGCTCTTCACAATTCTCAATGAAACATCTCGAGAAGGTAAATCAGTGCCTTGTCTTACTACTAACAGGTTTGACATGTGTCATCTTTTCAAGCTCTGACTCTTTCTGGACGTTTTATCACTATTTCCTAACGTGTGTATTTTCTTAGGTGGGCATTATGCAGGTGTGGAAACAATAAAAACTCGTCTCCTGCCATGGCTAGGGACTTGTTTTTCCTGTGCTACTTCAGGAAGGCCCTTTGAAACCAACTTCTCTCTCACTCAGGTATGTAGGAAATTGATTTTAAGGAGATAGAATGGTGTGAATTTGTACCTGCAGGAGAGCTTTAATGACTTTCTGTTAATAATAGCCTCCCTCCCTGTTTTTGGCTTAATGAAATATGTCCTTAGGTACTCATGGAGACATTTCCTTTGAAAGGGAAATCAAAGAGGTCATTAAAGTTACTTTTGGCCTTCTGGGGCTTGTGCTGTTTCACAACAATGAGTGACAACATGGAGGAATTTTCTTTGTAAGAGAAGCTACGTTCTTGTACTGCTTTGCTTTTCTAGGTAAAGAATTACACTACATTTACACTTGCAAAGGCATCACAGAGGTATTTATGCCATATCACTATTAATAAAAACCTAATGCTATGTGAAAATACATGTGTAAGCCAAAGAGGGGGGGTGGGGAAGGTGCTCATGTCCATCGTGATACCACCATACACCTGACTTGATGTTTGGAGTTTGTAGGTGTTTGGCATTTACTGAAGGGGTTGTAGTACTAACAGTTCGGCAGAAAAGACAGATCTGCTGGGGCTTTGTGGGTTGAAAGAAAATAAGAGCGTGGGTTGAGGCAGATTAGGGGAAAATATTGAAGATTTCGAGATTTGACAATGATGTCTTCGTGTTCTCCAACTTCTCATTTTTATACCTCTTCTGTCAAAATCTTTCACAATTAACATAAAGACAAATGAAAAATGATATTCCTTAACAGTCAGGCTCTAGTGTATTGCAGGAGTAGGCTTCAGCCAAAAACCCCACAAAATGTTGTTACTAAATGACAGTACACCTGGTACACCAGTTATGGATTTGTCATTGCATGTGAAATTCAAAATTTAAAGAAAAGCCTGCTGCACAGTTACTTATTTAATTCTGGTAGTACCGAGCAAATCTGTAGACTGTTAAAGACAGGGCTGCATGTGTGATAGTGTGCTTTCTGCAATGACAAAAGTTGCCTCCTCTGTTCTAATAACTTTATCTTACTTTGTGTGCATGAATTCCCAAAAACTTTACTTTGTGATATAGTCAGTCAGAAGATGACTGACTGGGAAAAAGCCCATGGAACACAACTGCAAGAACACTTTATTCAGGTGAGGTGTATACAAGTAGTAAGTCTGCATGTGCAGACCTTCCACGTTCTCTATCATGAGGTGCAAATGAAATGAATATTTATAATTGAGTCTTTGTTTTCTGTGCCTGGAAGCCATCGCTTATGTTTCTAGAAGGTATGCAGTTGCTTTTGTTTCCAGTTACTTTAGAAATGGCCTTTACTGAAATGTTTAGAAATACAGCTGCTGATAATGCTGTCCTACATTGCTGAAGGATGCTGTAAGGTGGAACATTCAAGCAGTGTGATTTTGTGTTTCATTGTAGGATTCAATTGAGAAAGAGAGGCAGCTGAGAGAGCTGGGAGAGCTGGCCAGCAATCAGACTCTTCAGCTGCAGGAGCTGCAGGAAGAACTGACTTCAACTCGTCTGCAGCTCAACCATGTGCAACAAGAGTAGGGGAACTAACTGATTCTTGCTTGTTTTTGGTTTTCAACAAGCAGTATTTTTCTCTTCACATCTAACTACTGATGGAGATTTGTAAAATGTTTCATTTCTGGCTTAAAATCAGAGCTTTGGAATACATCTAGGTTCTGGATTGTCTGTGTGTGTCCAAAGTGGGATGCAAACGATACGCTCATACCCACGTTCATAAATTGACTTGGGAGGTTTTGCTGCTGACAGAGGAGCTGGAAAACATGCCAGTATTCTAGACAAAAGGGTTTTGTGTAGTGCATGACCATCCTAGTGGAACTGTGGCCAATGAACTGTTGCATGCTGAGCAAACCTTGATAAAAATCGATTGAGCAGCTATAGTGCAACACTTATTGAAGGACCTGCAACATGTCATAACTAGTTATGGTATGTAATTGGTATGTGAACATCTGAGAAGATCAAAACTACTGTGGTAAGGTGGAGGAAGAGAGACAGATTTTCAAATAAGTGACTAGGACTGAACAGGTTTTGTCCAGTTGCATAAAACACATTTTGTGGAGCACTGTAGTCTTGATGTGACTTAATTGCTTCAGAAACAAATTTTTCCAGTTAGTGACAGTTCCAGAGCCACTTCAGAGGTAGCTCTGAGTGACAGACATTCTCATGCATCCTGTTAGTGTGAGAACAGCAGATGTTTGCAGTTCTCGGGTCAAATACAATAAGTGATATAATTTAATGCTCTTACTAAGCGATTCCAAGAATATCAAGTTCTCAGAACTGTGAAGGTAGATTAAAGAGGTTTGACAGAATACTTCATCCTGTATCCTAATCTTGCAGATATCTCCCTCTTTTGAAGAGTTGTAGAATCACAGAATGATTTGGGTTGGAAGGTACATCAAAGATCATCTAGTCCACCCCCCCGCCATGGGCACGAACCCCTTGCACCAGACCAGGGTGCTCCAAGCCCTGTCCAACCTGGCCTTGAACACTGCCAGAGAGGGGGCAGCCACAGGTTCTCTGGGCAATCTGGGCCAGGGCCTCACTGCCCTCACAGTGAAGAATTTCTTCCTTATGTCCAATCTGAACCTCCTCTCTTTCAGTTTAAAACCATTACCACTTGTCCCATCACTAGGACAGAGGTAAAAAGTAAAGTCTCTCTCCAGCTTTTATTCTAAGCCCCCTATAAGTATTGAAAGGCTGCAATAAGGTCTCCCTGAAGCCTTCTCCAAGCTGAACAACCCCAAATCTCTCAGCCTTTCTTCATAGGAGAGGTGTTCCAACCCTCGGATCACTTTTGTGGCCCTCCTCTGGACCTGCTCCAACAGGTCCATATCTTTCTTGTACTGAGGACCCCAGAGCTGGATGTAGTACTCTGGGTAGGGTCTTACAAAAGGGGAGTAGAGGAGGAGACTCATCTCCCTTGACCTGCTGGCCGTGCTTATGTATGCAGCCCAGGATATGGTTGGCTCTTTGGGCTGCGAATGCACATTGTCAGCTCACTTCTAGTTTTTCATCTACCACGGTCTCCAAGTCATCCTCTGTAGGGCTGCTCTTAATCCAGTTCTCCCCCAGTCAGTGCTGATACTGATGATTGCACTGATCCAGATCCATCACCTTGCACTTGGCCTTGTTGAAGTTCATGAGATTCACATGGACTCACTCTTCGACCCTGTCAAGGTCCCTCTGGATGTCATCCCTTCCCTCAAAAGTATTAACTGCCCCCATTCAGCTTGGTGTCACCCACAGCCTTGCTGACGGTGCACTCAATCCCCCTGTCAATGTTGTTAATTAAGATACTGAAGAGTACCAGTCGCAATACAGACCCCTGAGGGATGCCACTTGTCACTAATTTCTATTTGGACACTGAGCTGTTGACTGCAACTCTTTAGGCATGACAGTCCAGCCAATTTCTTACCTATCAATTAGTCCAGCCATCAAATTCATATCTCCAGTTTAGAGACAAGGATGTTGTGTGGGACCATGTCAAAGGCCATACAGAAAAGGCGAGGCAGATGACATCAGTTGCTCTTTCCTTATTTACCAATGCATTTTAGTATTTGTTATGTCTCATCTTGGACGAAGGCAGGCATTCTAATTTTTCACCATCAAAAAAGTCTCTCAGTCAACTCTGAGTTAAAGATCGTGCATCCCTTTGAAAAGAAGATAAGAGGACAATAAAATCTTTTGATCTCACAGTATACATTAAATAGCGAAAGGGACAAGGTGGGACAGAGAAGGACCCCACAACATTTGGGGGAGAGAGAGGTTTTTTGTTCTTGGCATTTCAACTGGTTTGCCAGAATTAGGTAATATTGCAAAATAATTCCAGCCTGGAAGGTTTAATAAGTCAAGGGGTTGTCTTCTGTTGAGAATTCTAACTATGGAGAAAAGTTATAGGAGTACTACTCTAAATGGAAGCTTGCTACTAGGGTGTTTAGGCTTGTGCCAAGGTCTAATCAAACTTAACAAAGCCAAATGACTCCCTTTGAAGTAAATGAGGTCAAGGGGACTTTTTCTGATCTTCTGCACAGAGGACCTGTTACATAGCTTGGCAGGAAGAGATTTTGATAAACATGGTTGTAATTAGTAAAAGCCAATATGGTAGCTTGAATCAGTTACCTCAAGACCTTGTAGTGTCCCTGGTGCAGGGGGCTCTTAAAAATAAGTTAAACAGGCAACTGGCCAAAAATTACACAGGTGGAGTTGTTCTTGCCTTGAATTTCAAGGCAATGTGACCAAATGAGTTGGGCTCAACCCAAGGGCTGGGAGAGCTGTGAGGGACTTTGTCGGTAATGAATTGTTTGAAACTGGAGGGTAGCGGTGGGCTGCTTTATCCAAACAGCATTAAGCAGATACGTGACACAAATTCTCCAGGCTGTTGTAGTTTCTCCTGAGAAACAGGCCGAAGATGCCTATTTTAGTTTTAAATGTTTAGATGGTGGAGTTTAAAACACTAGTTACAGCTTTAAAATGAAAGTGGGTTATAAAAACTGTTCTGATTTTTCTAAGAACTAGTTTGCTATGTTTGTTCCCATTATTTGTTTTGTAGCATCTACGTCTCTTTAACAGATAAGTCATAGTGCTCTCTTTTTGTTTCAGATTAATACTTGGCAGTAGACTGAATGAACAATAAAACCAGGGAAACTCTAATTACTACATAGTTTGGATTAGCATGGAAAGGATGAGCGTTAAGGCTTACAAAAATCAGCATTGGTAATTTGTAAACGTATCTGTGATAAAGTTGTTTTTTTCCTTTTGGTATTTAGTTTTTCTTGCAAAGAAAGAAACATTCACTTTCAGTGGTGGCTTTTCTTATGTTTCTGACTAGCCATAGGACTTGTGATGAACAATGAAAGACGCAGGTATTGCTGCTGCTTTCAGTCGGTCGTGTGCTCTCCTGCTTTTGTTTTTTTTCCCCTCTCCTGAGAAAGGCAGACCTGTAATTAAACATCTGGCTGTGTTTGTGATCATTATCTGCTGTTACGATGAAAAGATGAAAGCTTTGTGGATCTTGCAACAGTGACATAAAGACCATCAAAAAGTGCTTTAACACTTTCTGAAACATCCCCATGTGAATAGGGGTAAATGGCAAAAAGAAAATAATGCAGCAGTGAAATGATTACAGTTTATTTATCCTTTCTGTTCGGTAGTTATTGACACTGCATTGTCTGTTGTGGCAATTTAAGGCAAGCCTGACTAGTGCATTGTATATTATATAGGACTTTTTCCACCTTTTTTTTTTGAGGGGGGGGGTGTCTGTAAATATAATGATAATTTATATTTACATAATGATTTTCCTCTATCTCGAGAACTCGTCTTCCCAAATGTACTTTCCTTTCCTTGTTATTCATGATATTAGAATTCTTTAGCCCTCTTTTACTACTTCTCTGCTAGAAGACCTTGCTGGAGGAGCTGGCTAAGGATGTCCATGGGATTGTAATAGTCTCTGCAGCTTTTCCCACCCGGATTAGGAGGACAGTCTTTGCTTTTAGTAGATGTGCTGGCCTTATTACCTGTGGTCCTCTCAGACAGCCTACTCCTTGAAGAGCTGGAACAGAAAACTTGTCAGTTGATAGGTGTTAGACCTTTCATTGGTTCAGGTCCTCAAAAATCTCACCAGGGTCCTTCTGTAATGCAAAGGAAGGACAGACTGAATGCCTCCAAAATTAATAGAAAGCATCCATTTATTATTTTTCCTTCTGAGGAAAACAACAGTAATATCTGTGTTAGGAGGGAAAGCAGAGATGTTGTTAAAAACACTGTTTCTAACATTAAGTAAGAGTAAAGGACAGAAGATAAACTTGCTTAACTGGTTGTCTGCCAATGTTTAAGAAGCACTGCTTCTCTTGGGGAGAACAGGGGAGGAAACGTTGCCTTTTGGCAATACTTGATTAACGTCATTGGTGATATCCTTTGACTGACTAATATATTTCAGCAAAGAAAAGAACCAGAGGACCTGATGTAAGAAAATACCTGGAGTCTTACACTGTAGGAGAGAAAACTGAGCTGGTTTGGTTAACATCTTGAATATAAGAAAGAAACTGGTTTCTTTCTGAGACCTCATCATCTGAGCTGGTGCAAGGACACCAAATATTAACCAGTGATCTCTCCTGTAATGTGGTGTATCCAGTCTCCTGCCACAATACACGTTTACATTTTAAAGTGTGATTGAGAGTATGCTGCTTTTTTTAAACTCTTGATTTCCCTGTATTTCGGCATAAGGAGCTTGCTCAATATTTCTCCTCTTTTTCTGTTCTTTTTGTTTGATGATGAGGATTAATTGATAGGTGGTTTGCGTTGATAGAAGGACACCTTGTGACTGACTTTATTCTGTGTGGTTAAGGCTGAAGACTTCCCGTGCCCAAGGAAAGGATGCCCTGAGGAAGTTAGATCGTCTGAGTGACTATGAGCAGCAGATTGAAATACTGCGGGATGAGATTTCTATCCTGGATGCCCAAAAGTCTGTTCTCCAGAGCAGGTAGAGGCGTTATTCAGAGACGTCACTGAATCAGAGAAGTTGTTCATGTTGATTAGAATCAATTCCCACCTCATTTGAAATTCAAGTATAAATAAAAGCTAAGCTTTTGTACTTTGTTGTGAAGGAACATAAACTCTTTAACTGGTTTCTCCTAGTGCCCAAATATTTTAATTTCAGGCAGCTCTGTTGAGTTTCTGGCAAAACAGCAAAGAGAGCAGCTTTACAAAATACACTGAAAGCAAATGCACGAGATAAAAAGAGATGGTTAGGGTTTTTTAAGTCCTCTTTGAATGCTGTACTATTACAGGGCAGAGCTTGTGGTTATATTCTCACTTGTTTGACTTTACAACTTTTCAGTGGTACTGAAAGAGGAACACATCTCCTAAGTATTACTTGTTAAAAGTGTGTTTCCCCAGAACAAATTGCTTAGCTCTACACACTTTTGGGAATTATTCTAATTTTATTGTTCAGACTCATAAAATGTATTGACACAAATGCTTTCATATTAGACTAACCAGCTGCAGCTTTACTTCTTTAATTATATTGGCTCAAAAATCTCAGCTTTCCCTGATAATTAAATTGACACAAAACACTGTGCACTTGGCAAAAGTATCTGAGGACGGTGCAGTGACCTCACGCTTCTTTATACGTCTGTCGTAGGCTTGCACGGAGCCGTTCTCCTTCCCCAAGGCACAGAGAGAAGTTGTCACCTAGTCCACTTCACCCAAGGAGCTGCTCTCCTGGCCGAGCCAGGCGTATGAATGCTTCGCGTCGCGCCTGCCTGGTAGCTCGCTTTGGTGACATCTATGCTCAAGAACGCTTGGATGCAGAGACCCTGTTGAGGACATACATTAGTGACACAGAGATGGTGCAGAGGATAATATACATTGCAGCTTTGGTAAGAAAAAAAAGGTCCTGTTTTACAGGCCAGAAGTGTTTTATAAAATATTATGGCTGGACTGGATGAAATTGTGTGTAAATTGGCATTTCTGTGGGGTATGGAGAAGAAAGCTTCGCTGCTTTTCTCCCTTTTTATTTTCCTTTCTTTCCCTGACACTTTTACATGGAACTCTCAATTTAGTGTCCTCTTCTGACTGTCCTGTCCCAACATTAGAAGAGGGCCAGTGATCTACAGTACGGGTGCTAAAAGGGGTGCAGAAGAAGACTGAATGGCTCTGAAAGGTAGATGGTTCCTGCACGAAACCACACTGCCTTGTTTAGATGAATTCTTTTGGGAATACAGCATTTCAGAAAGCTAAAAATCTTTCTGTATCATGCTTCCCTCTTGCCTGTAGCTATGTGCTTTTCTAGTTCTATTGGATCTCTTGAAGTTACTGAGATACCTCATGTTTACTGTGAGCTCAGTCTAAAGAAACTTGTTTTAATTTTTCTGTACTTAATCTTCTGTCCTATAAAATTGATGTAGTACATACCTGTGTCAGAGAGGCAGTGTGTCTCTCAAGGTGTGTGATCCCAAGCACATTTAACTTACTGGAGTGGGTTTTTTTTCCCCCCAACTGTCATTCAGTTTACACTCTCCAATTCAACCTTTCTTCCTGAACACACATGAGGTGCTCCTGTCTGACACATTAGGCTGTGGCACGTACAATGCTGTTACTGAATTCTGCTCTTGATATCTTTGAATGCGATTCCATTGATCGTGGGTGTGTGATGGAATCCTACATAAAAATAGGTTAGGTGGGGAAACTTTTCAGTCCTGTCTTCTGCAAATAAATCACACTTGATTTAATCGGAGAGGTCCTCCCAGATGAATACTATTTTTAACTTTCACTTCTACAGCAGTGTTTTATATTCCTCCTTGCGATGATGATACTGGGTTAATTCATCCTCTCAGATAATTGAGAAAAAATTAATCTCAGTCTCCCGGATTTAACTAGACGTTCTTTATGTTTGCAGGAGTCTTTTCATGCAGCAAAGATGGCCTACAGGCAGTTCAAAATACGTGTGAGAGAGACACTGTCTCTAGGTCACTCGGGGCCGGAGTCGCTTGAAGACGCTGTCCTGGATTACATACTTCGCCACGAGGACCTGTATGACGTTCAAGCCAGTGTCAATGTAAGTCAAGGGCAATGGGGAAGGGAGGTGTTGATCTATTTCAGTAGCTAATAAATTTGGAGTGTGTAAACTAGAAATGCACTGAAAGCTGAAGAAGGAAAAAGTTTATTGCAAGGATTTTATGTCTTGGAGCAGTTTATTTTCTGAAATACTATTGCGGTATGGCCCAATAATCACTTGTTTTATTTGCTTGTGACTAGAATGTCTGTCTGCCAGAATAGTATTTTTGGCAAAATACAGTGTAACCGTCTTAATCAAATAAATGTAAGCTAAATTTCTTATTTTTCTTAAATTCTGTGCTCTACTGAAAAAAACGAATCTCCTCCTAAGATTGATGTCAGTGATATAGCTTATACTTTATTTGTAAAATAACAACATATTCTTTCTGAAGTGAATATTTACTGGGATAGCCTAAGACAACATTGCTGGGAGCTTCTTATACTGATTTTTAAAAGTAGAAAGCTGAAAGGCATATTAAGGAGGGGTTTCCCTACTTTCCTGTGAATAAAAGTGTTGGTGAGCTCAAATGATTCAATTGTATTTGTTTCCAGGAAGTGATTCGCTCCATGAACATCAGCCCAAAGATTTCATTTCCACCAGAAATCGATTTCATTGTGATCAGCACTTTGATTCGAGCGCTGTGCCATGTGGCTTTTTCAATGCAGACTCTTGTTCCTCCTCTTGATGTTGCCATCGGTACTGATGGAGAACTTTTCAGTGAGACCAAGTAAGAACACTTATTTTCAGTCAGATTCTTACTGTTTAAAAAATCCAGCAGGTTGTATAGTCTGCTTCCTTCCTAATTAATATAAAGCTTTAAGCTTGACGCTGAAGATGAATTTGGGGCAAACACTCCTGATTTGTAGTGAATTTGGTACGTCTTTAAGGTTTATGATGGTATATAAGTGCCGGGATACAGACCAGTGTTAACAGCAATTTTCTGGATGAACTTCAGTCTCTTGAGCATATTTAATTTATCCTTTAAGAGGAAAATTATCATCGGCTTTCCTTTCCTTGTTTAGTCTCTCTCTGTCTCCAGTGTTTGTAAAATGTGTGCATCTTTGTTCCTCCTTGCTGGTCCGTTTAGTAAAAGTCAGGTTTACTGAGATCTGGCAGTTGATGTCTGATACCAGGATTGTCAACATGCGTGCTGTGACCTCCAGGCTGTGGCTGCTGTACAGCATATGGATCTTCATACACTCCCATCTCTTCTGGTTTAGAGCTAAACAAAAAGAAAAATGCCTTTTCAAAATGGGAATTTAGTGTAAAAAGTGGACACCATAACATAGTTTTTTCCATAGGGTCAGGACTGACTGCGTTGTTAGCTGCCAGAGAACTGTAGGGTACTTCCATGCCTTCAAGAAAATTCACGGGATTGATAGCTCCAAAAAAAATTGCCCTCAAAAGCAAGAAAAACCACACCAATAAGGAGGTTTCTAATAATGATTTAAAATAGAATGGAACCAAGGTGGGGAAGAGCTTGAGAAGCCAAGGAGAGAAATAGAGCAGATAAAGGAGAGTACAAAGTCATACATGACTACTTAAAAACCTAGTCCAAACACTGGGCAGTTGGCTGTTTGATACCCACAGATATATGCTGAATTAAGGAGGCAGCAATGCTGTGGGTGCTGGGGGTGCTTTCTCCACCTGCTTGATGTGTGTGGCCTTCAAAAAACAGGTGTAATGTGTTTATATGTGCTGCTGTGGGAGACATATATACACACATCTGCCCATCTATGTAGTTAAATGTGGCATATGTATGTTTACATGTATAGCATGTATATGTGGTACGCAGAGATGGAGCAAGATTTGTAGAAATTGAAATAGCTCTGTTAGTTCTGTGTGATATCATTCTGCAAAAGGGCTGTCATACCCTGTACCTTCCTCCATGCATGCCTCTGTTTACAGCATTGTTTTGTATAAATTGCTGTTGTATATACATTACTAATGTGTAGATGCATTGCTCTTTTTAATTTCAGTTATCTGGTATTTGTTTTGAATTTGAATCATCAAAACCAGACATGTATTATTCAGCCAGTGTTGCAGACTTAGGGAGGTAATACATATCTGGCATGTTAATACAGGCCTTCAAAATAATTTTTCTTTGCTAAGAAGTCACTGTTTCATTATCAGTATCTGAGGATCTTGCTAGTAAAATTGCCTCTTATGTCTCCTAAGATACTAGGATGTGACTTTATAGTTGAGACAGAGTATTTCTGTAATATCCTTTGTAGGGGTCTTGTTTTAGCAGGGTATTTCAGGAAAATGGGGTGACTATGCCTGCCAAAGCGCTGCTCAGGAGATTTAACCCAAGGAACGTGACTTGTGTGGGGTTTATGCAAGAATGTGGTCTAGTGGCCTTCTGAAGTGCGAGATGGCTTTATGGGAGTGTCTCTGAGTACAAGCAGGCGGTATATTCTGCCGAGTCGGTCTTACAAATGCATTTCTCCTACAGGTTCACTGAAGGAGTACTTATTTTTGTGATATGGAAATATTGTCAAGAAAGATGTTTATAAGCTGCGACTAGTACTCTGCTTTTTATCAGCATTGATGACTTGAAGCATCATATTTATCTTTTGGCACTTACACGCAGGCATTTCTTGTGCTCTGTGTTTCAACAGGTACCATCGTAGTATTGACTCTGATTTCACAGCTGCCTTGGTGGCCTATCATGTATGGCCTGCTCTGATGGAAAATGATGTTGTAATTGTCAAGGGAGAAGCAGTCACAAAAAGAGGAGCTCTGGTACGGACTTTTGTCAAGGAACACGTTAAGGGAAATCGTTGGATTTAAACACTGTTTTAAAATTTAAGAAGATAAATTCTTGATTGTTTCCTATATGGTTGGAGTTGCCTATATCAAATACCAGTTAGATTTTAGTGCTTCATCCTGTATTTAGGATGAATAGTTCCATTTGCCTTAATGTGTTCATTATGCAGATGGATGATTGTTGGCAGAGCCTGTTCCAAGAAGAAAGTTGACTGTGTTTACTCTCAGTCCTCAAGCCTTGTCTCCAGCATGGCAAGTCTGCTTGCCGAGTCTGTCTTTATTAAATGCCCTCTCTCAAGAGAGGTTTGCCAAACTCTTCTCTTGTAGTGGTCTCGCAGAAGTCGAAGTAGAAGCAGAAGCCGCAGCCGTAGCACCAGTCCTCTTCTGTCTCATCACGTAAGCCCCAGCTGAATGCTTGTAGTATAAACAGCATCAGGTATTTTAAACTCAGAATGTCGGCAACCTTTTAAAAATGCTGCTGTGCCCCGTGTATGTTTTAGCATTGGGAATAAATGCCTTTTCTGGGTCTGGAATGAGGTGAAGCTGAACTGACAGATAGTTATTGCCTGGTATAATTATCAGTGGAGGCACTGTGTGAGAAGTAGATCATAGTTAAATTCTCAGAAGTATCAACTGTGATTCTGTGGATGCTTTTCTCCTACTCCCCCTTGCTTTAGTACCCTTCTGAATAACATCTGATCATGAACTGCATCATCTGGAAGTCATCTCGCAGTACATATACAGCACTTGGTTCCTGCCTCCTGGAATTAGTAATCTAAATTTGCCCTCTAATGCCTTAAAGGAGGAGAAAATCAGTGTAGGGTGGGTAGGAGAGGAAGAGCTGAGATGGTCCTAATAAGAAGTGAAACCTTAACAGAGTTTTGCATGTGGTATAGTTACACAATATTTTCAATTATTTCGGTAAAAATAATGTTTATTTCTCTAACTGTTAGCCCATCTTCTTAAATTGACATAGGTGCCCTCAGCTTCAAATATGAATATTGAGATGTGAGAGGCTTTGGCTGAGACTCCCTTTTTTGTGTGTGCGCAGGGTGTGAAACAAAATCTAGAGAGCTGTTGAATCTGACTTTGTAGCAGCGGAGCTGCATGGACAGAGTACCGCGTGCAAATTTTCTGAATGTTGATGGGTCCCCAGGTGCCTTTCTTGGGTACAGTTTTTTAGCACACCTGAATTTCCTTTTTTTGTTTGGCTTGCAGCTGTCTCGAAGCCGCAGTCCTTCACCACTGAGGAGTGGAAGCCCAAGTAAGTGGGCGTATTAGTTCATAATGACTCGTGTTTTATCACATTAAGCCCTTGAACGGCTGAGCGAAGAGACAAAAAAACGTGCTGAAGGTCTTTCTAAAATACTTGTCCAAGTCTTATTGTTAAAATGGATAGCCCCTTTCTTTTCTATGTGTAGAAAAAGGCTGAAATTTCCGACTTGGAGGAGAGCTTATTCTTCACTTTGCTCAGACTGCTGTCGTGAGTTCTCTCTGCTGGTTGCCTTTATTGTGGCCCGTTCTATAGTAAGTAAGTTTAGAGATTTAGAAAAAAATAGTTGCACTGAAATGTGTCTTTTTTTCTTCAACAGGGTGTTAACTGAACACGTTCCTGTGATTCAGCACATCCCGATCCAACAACTCACTGGTGCCTTTTCTCTTCAAGAATACCTCCAACCTCACAATAATGTGAACGGCAGTTGTCACTCCAAATGAAGTTTGTGTTCAGTGTGGTTTTTATACAATTATAGAAGGGTTATTTATGATCTTAGAAACTAATTTAACCCTTCTGATTTAAAAAAGAAAATGTATGCAATACAGGATCATACTTACTTGGCAAAATTTACAGAGTGCTGAGGAACCCATGCTGTAATCCTGCAGGTGGAGATAGAATTATTGCATCTAGAATGTTTTCCACAGATACCAAACCAAGCAGTTTATCCTGATAGGATGTTTCATCTAATGTTATGTATGTTGTAGAATGTTGAGGTTAGCTGTTACTCGAAAACAGTTTCGTTAATTGCTGCTTATTTGCAATTTTAGACAACAGCAATAATCTTAGGATGTGTCAGTCTCACACAGCATCCTTTTAAATACATCCTTGCGGTAAACTGAATTTTCTAACTACAACACAAGTTGCACAGAACAGTCATAAACTACCCATACTCTAGCAATCCTCAGGGCTTTATTACCATTTACTTACGAAAGCACGTGTGTGCTTTAGCAAGGCAGTAATTGTCCTTGTTAAATTCAATGTTACTTAGAAATGAATATCATAAAAATTTGTAGTTTCAAACTTCGAATATTTTAAAAGTGTGCCACTATTTGTAGGCTTGAAATATTTGCTTGAGGTGGCCTGTTCGGTCTCACTTTTAATGGGCTTTCATACCAGATTGATAGATTTAGTAATTCTTTTCAGCACAGTGGAAAAAACCCCACGGTCCAGTTATCTCTTACTGTGGGCGTTTATTACATTTTAAGCATAAAAATTATAGACCTGAAGAGATTTTATTCTGGCACTTTAAATAGTTTGTTCCCCTTGTAAATGTTTATTTTAATACCAGCGTTTTTGTTTTTGAGAGAACTGATGCTGAGGGTCCAGCCTTAAACACGAGCCGCACAAGTGACTGCTTGGGGCCTTGTGCTTTTGCATCAAAACACAGGATTTGTTGTAATGGAGGTGACTCCACTATCTCATTCCAGCCAATACCTGATGCCTCACAGTTATGTGAAGCTTTCCCCAGATTTGTCTCCACAATTTTGGAATATAAACAATCAGAAGGAGGAAAAACTCCTTTCTGCCTCCTATTGGTCAGCCAATGTGCTGGTACATGGCATTTCATTAGTACTACTGTAATAACATGAGCAAAAATATTAGTTCTGAAACTATTTAGTCCTGAAAATTAAGTTACAGAAGCAGATTTTGTGAACCCTTTCCAGGAATCTCGTGCAGATTTACACATCCATGTTCTTTCCCTCTACTTCTTGTGTGGCTTGAGACTTTGGCACAAGGCCTGACCAGATTTCAGGCAGACTTCAGCGCTGGTCCCCGTGAGCCATGGCTCAGGTGCGACTCTAGTTTTACGGATGTATTTTCATTGGAATTAGGCCAATTAACAACCAATGAGAGCAAAAATGAGGTCCAATAGAGTTCCTCCTCTAAGAACTTGATTGTTGGTCACAGGTACGGATCTGAGCTTGGAGTAAACTTGCATATTTCTGCACTGATCCTGTGACTAAAAATACCACGGTTCTGGGAAAACTGAGCACCTGCAACTTGCGTGGCAACAGAAGACAATTAGATATCCCGAGTATGCTTTTGAGCAGAAAAATGAAGGATTTCTCAAAATCTACCAAGGGCTAGAGATGTAGGATTTTTAAAAACTAGGTGTTGTATGTTTGTCTTCTGCATGTGATTGCCAAGACACGTCTGTGTTGTGATTTGAGCTGAAGTAAGTTTCCATACCAACTGTGGGAAAACTAAGTGTTCATCAAGGAAGTATGTTTTTCTTGACAAGCATGAGAGGCAGGGTGGTTCCAGATGTGCACACACCTGTGATGCTGCTAGGAACGAGTGTTGTCAAACATCTAAAATTGCCCTAAAAGACAAATTCACAGTGCTTGGTGGACCATCTCATCTTACACCCCCAGCAGGTGCCTAGAGAACTAGTTAGTCTCAAAATAAAAGAGAAAACTAATGAAGTGTGATGACAGCCAGTGACTTGTTTTGGTAATGAGAAGGCAACTCTAGGGTTTTTTTTTTTTTTTGCGTGATGTTCCAGAGCAAACCATTTTCAGCAAAATAGGAAGTCAGTCCACAGTGTGGCCACACTGAATTAGTTAAGCATGCCTTCCTCTACTCAGGGGTCTTTAACTAATTCAGGTATGTCTTCTGCAGCCTGCTTATAGGAATATACTATTTTGCACTGATTGCCTGCGCAGCTCGTTTAAAGCCAATTAAATCTATAGGTCAGGTAGAATCACAGAATGGTTGGGGTTGGAAGGGACCTCTGTGGGTCATCTAGTCCAACCCCCCT